AAGGTGAATCTTCCCACCTCAAAAGATCTGGATTAAAAGTGGGTCTTCCAACATCAAGTGATTTAATTAAGAAAAAAAATCCTTTACAGGTATACCTAGCAACTTGGGCTTTAGTTAATAACAGATGTAGGGGCTGGAGAGATGGCTCAGAGGTTAAGAGCACTGACTGCTTTTCCAGAGGTCCTGAGTTCAATTCCCAGCAACCACATGGTGGCTCACAACCTTCTGTAATGAGATCTGGTGCCCTCTTCTGGCCTGCAGGCATACATGCTGTGTACATAACAAATAAATAAATCTTAAAAAAAAATAAAAGAAATAACAGATGTAGTCAAGCTGACAATCAAGAAAAACCATCATAAATTATAACAGCATAGTTTGTAGTTTTCATAAAAAGCTCTTCAAAAGACATGGAAGCAGGATAAATGTGAGCATATGGTAGCAAGTACAAAGAAATGCAGAGAAAGGCAAGCAAGAAGAAAGGTGCAGCTCTTATTTCAAGGTCATGAGTACTAGGGAGAAAAACTGAAGTGGTAGAAAGGTTTGAAATAGTAGATGTAGCTGGTTTGTCCCTTTAAGACTCATGTTTGTGTTCCTTTTTACCCACATATGTAGATTCTTTTAATAGATACTTTAATCAATATTAAAATCAATCTACTAAGAATGCACATTAGACTTATTAATTTTATCTAGCTTACATAAAAGCCATAATTCTGATTGTACACAGTATGTTTCAAGTCTATTGAAGGAAAATGGCATAATAGGCTAGCTGGTATGACCAGGGAATACTTAAAGACAACAAGAAACAAAATGCAACAAGTGTTGTAAGAAACCAAAGACTTATAAATCCTCTCCTACCACTTATTGGTTGTATAATTTGGTTAATTGCTTAGATGTCTTGTTTCTTAAATTCTCCATTATCAATAATATATACCTGCATAAAATATAGGGACAGTCACACCACGACTTTCAACATTTCTTCCAGCTTAAAAAGCATAATTCTACGAACCTTCGCTCTTTCTCTGAATCCAAGCCACACACAAAAAGACTCAAGATCAAAAACAATAATTTTCAAGGTAGCCATGCACATGCATTTGTTCATTGTGTTGCTTATGTGAGATTCAGAAAAACTCAACCAAAGTACTCCTATTTATTAAACACTATTGCTTAGTATCTCAGCTGGAATGTTTATCCTCTGTGTTTCCTGACCTGTTCCAACTCCATTCTATACAATGTCTGTAGCATCCTATTATTCCATGGCTCAAGTCAAATTTATCATATACTTTGCATATGTGCTTCTTTTTATGTAATCATTTTTAACTCATTTACTGGAAGTATGCCCATCAGAATAGTATTGATTTTACTCACAACTTATTTAAAGTTTAAAATGAACCCAGACTTTTCAAGATACTTTAATTTTGGACTCTGAAATGGCTCTGCTCCTTAGTACTGGCCCATGTAACATCGGCGGTTTTATTACACTACATATGCTTTTACTGAGATGTACTCTTTCACCAGATGCCCAAGGCTAGAGGAATAATCAGTCACAAGTAGAGTTAAAATAAGCTTTCTCTTGTTATTACTTGCTTCAGATATTTGTTACAGGAATGGAAAGTTAGCTAAAACAGATATATATATGATAATATTTTCTTTCCATCCAAAAGAATTGCCAAAGCATTGACTATTTCCAATATTGTTGTTCAAATTTCAACAACCATGCAAACAAAAATAATTCTTATATTACTTTGCTATGCGAAAGATTGTTGCATCATATGCCATATTTAAGAAAACCTACTTAGTGGAATCTAAATGAGGGCATGTATGTATACATATAATGCAAAACAACAATTTTCTCATAATTTGTTATGTTCAATTCAATCAACATTTATTGGATTTCTATGTTAGTCATATATAGAGATTATTACTATTCAGACCTGGTCTTTAAGGAACTTGGGCTCTGTTTAGTGGCATGGAAGAGAATGATAACTAGTAAAGCTTCCAATGGTCATAATAATTAGCAAAATTAAGTGTGATCATAAGAAACATTCTAGAAAGCTATACAATTTAAAAAATATAAAAATAAGGTATTTGATCTAAACATTAATAATGAATATGGAATACAGAAAGGATGTAAGAAAGAAACACATTTTAAATGATCCACCAAGAAGAAATACGCTAGCCTGATAAAATATGCTTACTGCTACAATAGTGGCATGAGTGTTAAGGGAATAACCACTTTTTGATTGGATCTAAGGTTCATTCCATGAGATGGAACTAATACCTGGTACTGTTGAAAGGACCAAGAACCTATGGCTAAATAGGTCATAGGCTCTATGCAAGAACCTACTGCTGTTATTCTGCTAAATGGTTACAGGATTAAAATGACTCCTGATAACTTATTCCTGCAGCCATATATCCAAGCATCTTTCAACCCTCATCTGAGAAGTTTCACTTGAAGTAGATTATAATTAACACAAAGATTATAGTTAACACATAGACTAACAGAAACTGGTCAATGTACAGAGAAGAAAAGGCTATGAAGTACTCAGCCCTGAATGGGATATCCATGCCACACTTGTCCGCACAAGACTCGGGTATCTTCATGGAAGAAGGAGAAGAAACATTGCAAGAATAGAAAACAGTGCTTTTCAAACACATCAGGGCAGTTAAAATATGAACTCACAGAGATTGTGAACACACACACACACACACACACACACACACACACACACACACACAACCTATGTGAACTTTAGCCAGACAAAATCCAGGCAAAAAGAGTGAAACGGGAACAGGAAATACATCATTAGCCAAGGAGCTTTTGGCACTTGATACCTGCTGGGAGAGGAAGAGTCCGTTTTCTTCAACAATGTGACACCTGGTGGGTCAACCACATGCCAGGGCAGGTCCCATTCTGAAGACTAGCTGGTCAGCACAAACTGGACTTGATGGGCAAAATAAATAAATAAATAAATAAATAAATAAATAAATAAATAAATAAATAAATAACTGAAAAATCTCAAAGTTATATGTGAACAGATGGGAGGGAAGTTATGGGAGGACTTGAGAAGGAGGTGAAATTTTTCAGAAAACATGATACTAAATTCTTAAAGAATTAATTGAAATGTTTAAAAATAATAGACACAAAATTCATTGACATTTTAAATTATGGAATTGGGAAAGAAAAATATTCAAGGAAGAAACACAATTTACAATGAAAAGCTGTAGCAATCATAGCAAACAAGTTGTCCAACTTGGTTGGATGGAAGAGTATGCAAAGGGAAGGAGAGACAATAAAGAGGTGACGTAGGACCAAAGTGCTCAAAATCCATCCCTCATGATGAGTCTATTACTGTGGTGTAGCTTCCTTTAAACATGTGCCTTGAAATTTTGTATAGGGCTGTGGTATTCATAGATGAGCTATAAAGTATAAAGTCCTCAGGTTGGCAGATTTTTTAGGAATTAAAAGAAGAGCCTTAAGGTACAAAGAGTAGTTAAGCTATTATGTGAACTCCAAAGTGTGAGTCCCCAGGAGCTGGAAGTGGAGATGTAGCCACAGACGTGGAAGTCAATTAGAATAGACAGGGCAAGTGCAGAGATTCCAAAAGAGGAACTACAAAGGTTGGCATCTGAAAGGAGAGGTGGGGTAGGGAAGGAGATATGGCTGTGATATATTGATCTTCTTTTGGTGTTATTAATGGGCACTATAATACCGAGACTGACGAATTAGGGAGCAATAGAGAAAAAGGTGAATTGTAAATCTAAGAAATAGGTGGAATCTCAAAAAGAAATAAATAGAAAGAGAGGAGGAAGGAAGGAGGGAAGTGGGGTGAAGATAAAATCACAGATAGTTAAGGAAAAGGATTATAGGATGGGGTAAAGGGGGTTTCTCAAGTGTTCGAAGAAATGCAGACATTGTGTCATGTCTAGGAAGCACAGTGGGTTAAGAAGGGAGTGCTTTGGTTGGCAATTTAAAGTTAGTGGAAGCCATTGAAAAAATGGCATGCAGGCTAATTGTATCAATAACCCAGAGCCAAGTGTGTGAGCGGTTGGTGGTGACATTAAGTGCAATTAACTTAAACTCGATTTCTGGTCATTTTTAAAGTAACACCAAGAAGGGAAAGAACATGCCGGCACTTCTGTTTCCTCTATGTGAGAGTTGTGATCTATGGTTTCCCAAGCAAAATAGTTCAATTTGTCACTCCACTTTACCTACCCCAGTATTGACCAGCAAGGTACATTCACTGGACATATGAAGTAGAGTGATTGGCATTTTCTCTAATGAGAACCTATAGTATTTGTCTACAATAATGATCAGTTGGCATGTGGGTACACAACAGGTGAAAAGCTTAGTAGATAGACTCAGAGTTTCCACTGTTCGTTGCCTTATATTTTGGATTTTCTTGGCAGAAAGTAACCCTTGGCTCTGAATCTATTGTCATTAGCAGAGAAATAATGGTTTGTAACTGAATGCATAGTCTTCTGGGGAGGGGAAGGTAATTGTTTCATCTTAGCTCTTAATTTCCTTTGCTGCTATTTTCTTCCTTTAAAATTATAGGTCGTCTCACTAACCAGTTGCCAACAACTTTCCGCATTATGAAAATACAGGGCCCTTTATATGATCTAGATTCTTTGGACCCTGTCAACACTTGAAACCCTCTATTTGGCTGAAACAGCTCAGCAAGTAAGCTTCCTGGTATGTTTGTTTTTCTGTAGCAAATATCCAAATATGCCTTACAGAGTACATATATTCATTGTACACCCAGAAGCAGTCCTAAGCACAGCTTCATACAAGCATTTGACCCCCATCCCTTGAGCAATCCCTCACTCAACAGGACACGTAGGACCACGCTTACTTTCTGAAGATTTCTCTGCAGCAACAAGAGTGATTGCAACAACCCTGAATGTGGAAATCGCTGAAACATTCAAGACCTTGTATAATCTGCTATGCTTAGAGTTTCAGGGTTTCTGCCTATTGGAGTAAAAATTAGTCAGAGTTTCAACACAGTGTTTATTTTGACAACGGTCTAAGTCACTGTAAGGGCTCTAGGACAGCACTGTCTGCTGGTACCCAGCAGAGTAAAGAATGCCTTTCTGGACCAGCGCACAGACCCCTTCTCATCGTCTGCTCCTTCTGCTTCCTCGGCCATTCACAGCTTAGGTTCCGGAACACGGCAAATCCATTTAAAGGTAAGTGACCTAGTCACTTCTATTTCAATTTTAATAATTCAAAATTGTAGATCAGTTTTCCAAGAAAATCCCCAGGTCAAGAGTGAAAGCATATCCCTCAGACTATCCCCATTTCTTTGTCTTTCTTTTGATCCAAGAAATAACTACTTTACTTAAATCTCAAAAGAAACAAAGGTTCATATACTTTGAAGAAATGTCCTTTTTGGGGGACATGTGAGATTAAGTCGCTCTGTGAGTCAAACCACATTAGAAGAAGAGCAAATACACCCTTCAGCCAAGGTCAGCTATGTGTGGGGACTCCCAGCCTACAAGTAGAAGTGTGAATGTCTCTTTTTGAGCCTCTGGGGCACACACAGGAAAAAATGCAAGAAATAAGAGATTCAAGAAGTCTGAAAGCAATTGAAAAAGAGAAAAGCACAGTTGAGGTTAAACTATAGCATCTGTTGAGATCTACAAGGTCAGATTCACTTGAACTGCCTTCCAGATACGTTGTTCATGTGAGTAAAGTGTAACCAAAGGTGACGGGGTGTGATGAACTTCTTTCTTAACCAGGATTCTCTAATGCTCACAATATCATCTTCAATGGCACAACCAGATTGTTGACTTTTGGAGAGGTCAAGAGGGGAGAGCAATTACCAGAAAACTACAGAACAGCTGCTCTTCTACCATGACCCGGAGTGGAAGAAGTTTCCCAACTAATCTCAACAATTCTCTCTCTCTCTCTCTCTCTCTCTCTCTCTCTTTCTCTCTCTTTCTCTCTCTCTTTGTCTCTCTCTCTCTGTCTCTCTCTCTCTCCTAATCCTACTGAGCATTGGTTAATTTGATATTTCCATAAAAAATATCTGCCAGTGAGTCAAATATTTGCATTGACTATTAGCTACCCTAAAGTATTTAAAGAAACTGAGAATCAACAAACATGGGACTATTTGGTATATGTTCAGCTGTGATGACAATAAATTAAAGAAATCATTCTTTTTGTTGGGATGAGAATTGTCCTTTAAACATAAAATTGTATTTATTTCTAATTTATCTAGTGCTTGAGGAGCATACACAGGGTCTTGAACATGCATGCTAGGCAAGTAGTCAAATGCTGTGCCGCTGATTGACACCCCAACCCCAATATTGTTTCGTCAAAACAAAACTGTTATAAAAGGAGATGCTGCCAGCCAGCTATGTTACTACCATCTCATCAGATAAGTTCTGTTGCCACCATCTTCTTTCATGGCTGTCCAAATTTTCCCCAGAAGAGTTAGAACCAAATAACAAGTCAGAATATTTTATATGAACATTGTCCTGGAGGTTGTGATGATAATTGGTATGAAAATCCACCTATGATTTCAAACTTCCATAAATCAAAGCAGATAGCATTTGCTAAGAGCAGATCTGATAACGTCCGTGCAGTTCCTCTTATCTCAATCATTTGTGTGCTAGTTACACATAAGAGTTAAGAATTTTTTTTTCTTTTTAATATATGGGAAAATACTATAAGGCGTATGTCTCTACGAAGACTGACGATTTTATACTTGCAGCATTTACTCTGATAACCACCCAGGATCTCTCTGTTACCTGTCATCTCTGTGCTTCTGTGATGCTGGGGTGGGGATGGGGGGAAACAGAAAATGTGAGAAGGCAAGTAGAGGCGTCTGTAAAGGAGACCCATTTTATTATTAAAATAGGCTAGGGCTACAGCAGTTCATGAGTTGGATTAAAGGAGTCTGAACAAAAGTGTGAGTAAGATCTTCAACATCTGCCTACCCTCTGCAGCCAGTGACAATGGATTCTGTTTATTTGTATCATGCTCACTGCCTAGCGGCATTGGATATCCATCCAGCATTTATTTACCCATGACAAATATTTGGCATGGGCCAGTGGGTCTGGTTTGCTGACTCCAGCCCTTTCGGCTAATCTTGGAGATAAGGTAAAAGAGTTTAGCAACTGCTTAACAGGAACTCCTCATTTCTGGAGAAACAATTCTAATATCCACCCTTCTCTATTGGCTTAAAATAAGATTTATTAAATAAGTAGCCCCGTCGTTCTTGACATATCCTTTTATCACAACTAAGAAATATAAGCTCATTACATTAAAATATAATCAGGAACTAACCCTCTGAGACAGTTAAAAGAATTTTAATTCAGTAGGATAATTGGGCAAGATTAAAAACTGTGTATTTAAAAGCAACTTGACGGAGCAGTTCTGCTGCAAGGAACCTACTTGCTATCTCTGTGGACATACATCTAAAGTATACTAACACCTAATTACGAAGTCAATTGCTTATACTGACTCTCCACGGTGATTATAACGTTCAGTGTAATTAGAGCATCCATATGGGGTAAAACTATGCATCCAACAGCAACAACAAAAAGAAACGTCCAGCATGGTGGCCCAAGCTTGTAATAAGAAGTATTATCTATGAGAAGTCTAAGGCAAGAGGATCCTAAGTTCAAGGCCAGTCTTAGCTATAGAGTTAAGTGGGTTCAAAGCTAGAAAGAGTAACTTAGTGAGACCTAGCCTCTAAATAACAAGTAAAAGGAGCTCTGGAGGAATATAAGACAGTGCTAGAACATTTGTTTAACACACATGAAGCCCTATGTTCAATTAACAGTACCAGAAAACCAAACAAAAATGAATGATATAAATATTTCCCTATTAATCAGAAAAATCTTCCAAGTGTATTATGTCTTAAGAAAACTAAGCAGTGTCATAGGACTTCTTCGGCTGGACATGTTTAGTGTGTATGTATGTACACATATATGTAAGCAGATAGATGGCAGAATTTTCTCTCTACTGAACACTCATAAAACAGAGGAATCGGGGGTGATCCTCTGGAGACATGTAGAAAATATCCCAAGTTTCACACTTTTTCATTGATATTTTATATTTTTCAAACAAAAACACGATTGTACATCTGTTTTAATGTCAACAGAGGTTTTTCTACATGGTTATAATATGTCTTAAATTGCTTTGTATGTTTCTATATCTTATATGTACGGTCTTTCTATCCAGTTCTGGCAGGCAACAAAGAGCAATGTCAATAGCTTGGTGCATCCAGATGATGGTCCAGCAGATTCAGCAGGTCTGACTGGGGCATAGGATGTGTACTGAGGGCCAAACTTCTCCACATGACTTTGAAGATTTTTTTTCTATTTCTGTGAAGAATTGAGTTGGGATTTTGATCGATATTGCATTCACTTTGTAGATTATTTTTGTTAGCACACACATTTTCGGGGGTAGAGAGGGAAGGAAAATGTTTATTCTACTTAAAGAACCCAGTCATCGTCATCACTGAGGGAACCCAAGGCAAGAAACTGAAGCAGTGGCAGGAACTGAAGCAGAGACCAGGAGCAATGCTGCTTACTAGCTTGTTCCTCATGGCTTAGTCAATTTGCATTTTTATCACTTGCTTGAGGATGACATTGCCCCAGTGAGGTCACTCCCACATCAATCATTAATCAAGAACTACCCTCACCCCTAACAGGCCAATCTGATGGAGGCATCTTCCTCAAGTGTGGTTCTCTTTTCTTTTTCCCAGATGATTCTAGATTGTAGAACACACATTTTTACAATATTGATCTTACCAATACATGACCATATGAGGTCCTTCCATCCTCTAGTGTCCTCTTCAACTTTTTCTTTCTTTCTTCGGTGTTTGGATATGTTCATGATAAAGGGATTTTACTCCGTGATAAGATTTATTCCAAAATTATTTTTGAGGCTATTGTGAATGCGATTGTTTCCCTTGTTTCTTTCTTAGTATCTTTCTGTCTTTTGGGTTGGTTTGGGTTTGGTTTCATTTGGGGTTTGGTTTGGTTTGGTTTTTTTGATATGGTCTCTCTATGTAGCTTTGGTGGTCCTGGAACTCACTCTGTAGACCAACCAGGTTATCCTCAAGCACAGAGATCCTCCTGCTTCTGCCTCACAAGTGCTGGGATAAAAAGCATGTGCCACCACACCTGGCCTCATTGTGTTTCTTATTGGCATACCTTGAAACTACTGAGATCTAATGTTAATGTTTTACTCTGCCACTTTGGTGAAAGCATTCATCAGCTATAAGGGCTTTGGTTGGAGTATTTGGAGTCTCTTGTGTATAGAATCATAATATCTCTAAATGGGGATATTTTCACTTCTGGCTTTCCTATTTATAACCCATTTGTTTCTTTCTCTTGTCATATCAAACTAGCTAAGATATCAAGCATTATATTGAATAGGAGTGGTGAGAATGAGCACCTTTGTCTTGTTTCTGATATGAGAAAGCTTTCAGGCTTTTCTTCATTTGACATGATGATGGCTAGAGGTTTGCAACATCTACCTTTTAACAAGTTGAGATATGTTCCTTCCATCCCTAGTTTCTCCAGTACTTTTATCATGAAGGGATATTAAATTTTGTCAATGGCCTTTTCTGTATCTATAGAGATGATCGTATGATTTCTACCTTTGAGTCCATTTACTGAGATGAAGCCAACTTGATTATGATGGATGATCATTTTGATGTGCTCTTCAGTTTGACTGATAAAGTATTTTATTGAGATTCTTTTCTTCTGTGTTCATTAGGGAGATTTGTCTGTAATCTTGGGTTTTGGTGGTGGTGGTATTGGTGGTCTTTGCCTGAAACTGAAATCAGGATAGAAAGAAGCTTGGATGTATCTCTTCCTTTTCTATTTTGTGGAAAAATTTGAGAAATGTTGGTGCTTGTTCTTCTTTGAGGGTCTAGTAGAATTCTGTACTGGATCTGTGGACCTGGGCTTTTTATAATGGAGGTTTTAGAATTTCTGCTTCAATCTCATTAATTGCTATAGGGCTATTTAAACTATTTATTTCATTTTTATTTAACTTTGATAGGTCACATGCATCTAACATTTATCCATTTCTTTTAGATTTCCCAGTCTCATGGAATATAAATTTTTAAGTTATGCCCTCATGATTTTCTGGATTTCTTTAGCATTTATTATAATATCTCTCTTCTCATCTCCAATTTTATTCATTTGCATCTTCTCACTTTTATTTGTATAATTTGGTTAGGAATTGGCCAATCTTACCTATTCTTTCAAGAATTAATTTTAAGTTTGGTTTTTCTTGTTTTCCCAGTGTCTTGAATTGCATCATGGGGTTTTTTATTTGAGATCATTCTGATTTTTTTTTTAATGTAGGCAGTTAGAACTACAAACTTCCCTGTTAGGACTGTTTATATTCTGTCAAAATATGGTAAATTTGTTCATTAAACAAATGCCTTAAAATTTATTTTAAGTTTACTTAAAAATAACGGTACATATTAGAACAGACTCTATAAAAGAAAAATATAGTGATAGTAAAAGGGGCAGAAAACACTAAATGAGAACAGCAAATTCAAATATGATGGCCAGGAATCTTATTTTATTTGTAAAACATAAGTGCTTCATACCATATTTCTAAACAGTTTGCACACAAATAGCTTTATTTAATATCAGAATGTATTTTCAGTCTTCCTGTGCTGTACTTTGGAGAGGCCCTAATTCTGGAAGATAGGAGCGAGTACTAGCTGCGAAGTCTGCAAAGGTCATCAAGCTATCGATTTGATAATTTAATATTTGTTAAGTGGCAATTCTATGCTAAACATGTTCTGAGCATTTTACATAAGCTTTTAATTGACAAATAGTAAGAGTTAAACTATTATTCCCATTTTACAGATAAATAAATTGAGACACAGAGCAGCTAAGTCAATGTCCTTTTTTTGCTTTAGATGAAAGTAGCTGCATTAATTGCAGCAGCATTGTATACATGTTGTGTGTATTATTAGATATGTCAATATCAAATTGTGAATATCAGGGAGCAGTGATGACCTTGTAAATAACTCCTAGATACTCAAGGCCCCACAGCACATCAGTAGAACACACTTGTCATGGTTTTTATTCTAACATTAGACATGTAAAATCATCTTGTACCCAGGATAGTATAACTCTGGAAATCTCAATGCTCCAGTAATCTGATAATTCGTGTTGCTAGAAGGTCGACAAAAGAATGCACCTTATCCAGGAATCAAGAGTCCTGATTGGGTTCTTGTCATGCTGACTCCATTGCACCTCCTTGAACATCACTGTCAGTGATGCAGAGAAGTATGACCTGTAGGTTTCTTCCTCTTTTTTCTATTTTTTTTATTTAATTTAAAATAGATTGTTTTCACACAATATATTCTGATTATAATTTCCTCTTCCTCTTCTCATCCCAGTTCTCCTGACTTCTCCTCCTAGTCAGATCCACACCCTTTCTGTCTCTCCTCAGAAAACAAACAGCCATCTACAGAATAAAATAAAATAGTATAGAATGGAATAAATAAAAAACAAACAAATCAGAATATGACAAAACAACCCAAAAGAAAAATAGCCCAACGTTTAAATATTGTTGACATTCTTGTGGTTCCTTTAAATGCCCTTGCCTCTCCCCAGAGTTAGTTTTTTTCCCTCACTCCCACCTTTTTTTTCTTCCTCCTCTTCTTTCTCTTAAATTTGAGCACCCATGTAAATTATGCTTTCAGCCTTGGGTAGGTTCGTAAGCTTGCCCAGAGTGAGACCACTGTTGAAGAACAAAGGTCTGAGTGAGTGTTTTAATGTGGCCAGTACTCCTGTTCTGTGGAGTCTCTGCTGACACCTCGGGGTTCCAGCTCTGGAGAGCAGGGCGGCACTGCTCACGGATGCCGAAGAGTCTGTCTGTGCATGCCAGGCTCATACGTTGATTAGAACTCTGGGATTTTGTCCTCTTTGGGTTGGTATGTTTTCCTTCTCCCCCTCCCTTCCCCCCACCTCTCTTTTGTAAAGGCAGTTTATCTGACCCAGCAAGGACCCTTCAGTTAGATAAATTTGTTTTATGAAACTTCGTGGCTCCCATCCATATTTTTTTCCCTACTCTTCAAATTGGTACACACAACTGAAGAGCTCTTGCATTGGCAGGCTGGGAGGGCCTGGACTTGGATATAGTGTCTTGGTTTCACTTGTTTCATTTTATTTTATTTTTTAACTAAAGCTATATAAATCTTGTGGATTAAACAGAATTTCTAAATTTAAAAAGAAAAAGAAAAATAGCCCAAAAAAACACAAGACACACACACACACACACACACACACACACACACACACACACACACACACAAATTCACACACACACAAATTCACACACTCAGAAATCCCATAAAAACCCCAAACTGGAAGCCATAATATATATGCAAAGGACCTATACGTTAGAAAGGAAAAAAAATGCTTTGACTTAACATCATAAGACAAATAAACTCCAAAGATGTTGAGTTCATTTTGTGTTAGTCATCTACTGTTGACATGGGACCTATCATTGGGAGTTTTTTCCCCAGTGAGACTTCCTTGGAGAAAACTAAATTTTCATTTTCAAGTGGTTATCAATTTGAGACAGCTTTTGGGTTAGTGATGAAGGCATATGACCTCATATCCTTTCAGCTCTAGGACCCCATCTGGTGCAGACCATACAGGCCCTGCATGTGCTGCCTCAGTCTCTGAGCTCATATGTGCATTGGTCCCATTGATTTAGAAGGCCTTGTTTTGTGAGGTGTCCCCAAGCTGCTCAGGCTCTTAAGCTCTTCTCTTCTCCCTCCTCTTCTACAGAGTTCTCTGAACTCTAAGGGGAGGGATTTGATGGTGGCACCACGTTTAGGGTTTAGTGTTTCAAACTTTCTCACTCTGAATATTGTCTGGCTTTAGTCTTAATATTTGTTCCCATCTGCTACAGGAGGAAGCTTCTCTGATGATGGCTGAGCAAGACATTGCTCTATAGTTATAGCAGAATTTTATTAGGACTCATTTTATTGTTACATTTCTTTAGCAGAACAGTAGTATTTGGTTTTACCTTAGGTCTCTAATTTCAGGTTCTTGACCATTCAAACAGCGTTTGTTTGTGTTCCATCTTATGGAGTGGGCTTTAACTCAAATCAGATATTGGTTGGTTACTCCCAGAAGCTTTATACTATTTTACCAGTATATATTGAAGGTTGTTCAGTCTTGTAGATCTAAGGGTTTGTGGCTGGGTTGGGTGCTCATGTTTCTCCTTTGATAGCCTGCAGAGTACCTTCCAGGACCATGAATACTTAACCATAGAGGTCAAGGCTCTAGGTAGGCAGCAGCTCAACTCCTCCATGTTCATTGAATGTGTCGGTACTGTCTTCTACAATAAGGCTTTACAGTCAGTTTGTAGAGAGCCATCAATAGCCTTGGCAAAAGCCAGGGTTGTTTGGAGATTCCTATGGGACCCCTTTGGCCAACAACTCAATTAGACAATAACCCATTACTGATATTGGAAGCTTCGTTTGGCGACAAGAATTGTTCAGTTGGGGCTCCATCTCCCATATCATTTGGTGGTATCATTTAGATCACATTCATATGTTCATATGTGTATATATTTTAGGAAGCTTTGACTGCAGTAGGTTTCCATATAACCCCTCAAAATGGCCATTATCATTCCCTCCTCAAATTCCCTCCCTCACCCCCCTTCGCTCCCCTCTCTTTTTGACCTCCCCATTCCTGCCCCCTCTCGTCACCCATGTATTCTATTTTTTGACATGGAGGTCTCTAAGATCTACCCCACCTCTAGCTTCCTATGAACCATCTGTGGAAGATTGAAGCAGTGAATTCCCTTTAAAGATTCCTGAATAGTAGCCTAGACTTTTTCCTCAGTCCCCACAAAGTATGAAACAGTGAATGTAACCAAGGTACCACAACATGAAATGAATGGTTATTCTGAGAAATATATTATAAAAAATTTCAATGTTGTAGTGAATTAAATGTCTGGCAAATATATACAACACAATAGTGATAACTATTATCACTAGTTACTGGACTATAATGGAGGTTATAACTCTGCTCATCTTTGTCCTAAAAATCTTTAAAAATAACAGTTATATGAATTTGCATATAAATTTGTGTTAACTTGCCCCAGGAAAGGAAGAGGAAGCAAAGTATTTTCTATAATCACATGAGTCTGCAACTCAACATAACTTGTCAAGTTTTATCCCCTACAAGCACTGAATACTTATGATGTCATTCATTTCAGGGCTTGGGAATTGTCAAACCATGGCCAGACATCGTGCCTTATGTTTCATTTTACTAATCTTACTGACTGACAAGAGTGAAGCCTGTTTTTGTGACCACTACCCATGGACTCACTGGTCCAGCTGTTCTAAATCCTGCAATTCTGGAACCCAGAGCAGACAGAGGTAGGTCTGAGATATGAGTACTGTGTGTTCTGTGGGATTTCAAAGATAGAGTAAGTAATATCAAATAGATCACACAATGCAATGACAGACTTCTATATCTCAAATGAGAACTTGGGACTTTAGACAGAATTTCAGATTAAGAATCTGTGCAGAGGAAGACGACACGATAGTCTACATAAGTGACCCTAAAAATTCTACCAGAGAATGCCTATGGCTAATAAACAGCTTCAACAATGTGGTGAGATACAAAATTAACTCAAAAAAAATCAGTAGCTCTTCTATATAAAAATAATAAACATAAACAGGACAAGAAAGAAATCAGAGAAACATCACCCTTAAAAAATAGCCAAAAATAATATAAACATACCTTGGAGTAACTCTAACAAAACAAATGAAAGACCTGTATGACAAGAACTTTAAGTCTCTGAAGAAAGAAATTGAAGAAGGTATCAGAAAATGGAAAGATCTCCCATGCCCATGGATAGGTAGACATAATAAAATATAACAAAAATGGCAATCTTACTTAAAGCAATCTACAGATTCATTGCAATCCCCATCAAAATCCCAGCACAATTTTTCACAAACTTAGAAAGAACAATACTCAACTTCATATAGAAAAACAAAAAACCCAAGATACCTAAAACAATCCTACACAATAAAGCAATCTCTGGAAGCATCACCATCCCTGACCTCAAGCTTTACTATAGAGATATAGTAATAAAAACAGCTTGATATTGGCATAAAAACTGACATGTGAACCAATGGAATTGAATTGAAGAACCTGACATTAACCCGCACACCTATGAACAACTGATTTTTGACAAAGAAGCCAAGACTGTACAATGGAGAAAAGAAAGCATCTTTAACAAATGGTGCTTGCATAACTGGATATCAACATGTAGAAAAAAGCAAATAAATCCATATCTATTGCTATGCACAAAACTCAAGTCCAAGTGGATCAAAGACCTAAACATAAATCCAGTTACACTGAACCTGATAGAAGAGAAAGTGGGAAGTAGCCTTGAATGCATTGGCACAGGAGACAACTTCTTAAATATAGCACCAGTAGCACAGACACTGAGAGCAACACTTAATAAATAGGACCTCCTGAAATTGAGAAGCTTCTGTAAAACTTCGGACATGGTAAATAAGATAAAACAACAGCCTACAGAATGGGAAAAGATCTTTACCAATCCCACATCTGACAGAGGGCTGATCTCCAAAATATAAAAAGAACTCAAAAAACTAGACAGCGAAATACCAAACAATCCAATTAACAAATGAAGTACTGCTCTAAACAGAATTCTCAACAGAAGAATCTCAAATGACCGAAAGACATTTACAGAATTGCTCAACATCCTTAGTCATCAGGGAAATGGAAATCAAAACAACTCTGAGATACCATCTTACACCTGTCAGAATGGCTAAGATCAAAAACACTGATGACAGCTTATGTTGAAGAGGAACACTCCTCTCCAAGAGGAACACTCTTCCACTGTTAGTGAAAGTGTAAACTTGTACAGCCACTTTGGAAATAAGTATGGCAATTTCTCAGAAATTTGGGAATCAATCTACCTCAAGACCCAATGATAACACTCTTGGGCATATACTCAAGGAATGCTCAATCATATCACAAGGACACTTGCTCAACTATGTTCATAACAACATTATTCATAACAGCCAGAACCTGTAAACAACCTAGTTGCCCCTCAACAAAAGAATGGATAAAGAAAATGTGGTACATATACACAATGGAATACTACTCAACAATAAAAAATAATGCTATAATGAAATTTACAGGAAAATGGATAGAACTAGAAAATATCATCCTGAGTGAGGTAGCCCAGACTCAGAAAGACAAACATGGTGTAGTATCTAGCGGACACTAGATGTAAAGCAAAGGATAACCAGACTACAACCCACAGCTCCAGCAAGCTAGGTAACAATGAGGACCCTAGGAGGGACACATGGAGTGCCCTGGGAAAGGGAAATAGATGAGATCTCCTGAGTAAACTGGGAGTGATTGTGGGGCAATAGAGAATAAGGGATTGGGAATGAGAACATAAAGGAATGGGAGGGTAGAGCTGAAATAGGGATGGAGTGGGAGAGCAAAGAAAGAGATACTATGATAGAGGGAGATATCCATAATGAGGATAGGGAGAAACCAGGTGCTAGGGAAGTTCCCAGGAATCCACAAGGATGACCCCAGCTTAGACTACTAGCGATAGTGGAGAGGGTGCCTGAGCTGGCTTACCCTGGTAATCAGAATGGTGAATAACCTAACTGTCATCACAGAGCCTTCATCCAGTAATTGATGGAAACAGATACAGAGATCCACAGCCAAGCACCAGGCGGAGCCCTGGAAGTCCAGTCAAGGAGAAAGAAAGAGGGATTCTATGAGCAAGAGGCATTAAGATGATGGGAAACTTACAGATAAAACCAAACCAAGCTAGTGGGAACTCATACACTTTAGAGCAACAGCCGTGGAGCCTCCATGGGACGGCACTAGGCCCTCTGCATACAGGAGACAGTTGTGTAGCTTGGTCTGTTTAAGGGCCCCCTGGCAGTGGGAATAGGATCTATCTCTGGTGCAGGAACTGGCTTTATGGAGCCCATTACCTATGGTGGGACACCTTTGCACAGCCTTGATTCAGGGGGAGGGGCTTGGACCTGCCTCAACTGAATGTACCAGGCTTTGCTGACTCCCCATGAGAGGCCTTACCTTTTCAGAGGAGGGGAGGAGGGTAGGCAGGGGAGAAGACTAAAGAGGGGTGGGAGGAGGGATGAGAGGGAGATCTGTGATTGGTATGTAAAGCAAATAGATTTCTTAATAAAAAAAAGAAAAATGCAAAAATGAGTCTGTGCAGAAGAGAGAGAGGTGGGTCTATGATTGGTATATTAAAAGAATTTTTTTTTTTGATTTTTCAAGACAGGGTTTCCCTGTGTAGCTTTGCGCCTTTCCTGGGACTCACTTGGTAGCCCAGGCTGGCCTTGAACCCACAGAGATCTGCCTGGCTCTGCCTCCCGAGTGCTGGGATTAAAGGCGTGCGCCACCACTGCCCGGCTTAAAAGAATTTTTAAAATGTCTTAATAAAAAATCATTTAAAAGAATCTGTGCAGTGTTTTTGGTTTTTTTTTCAGTTAGTACATAATGCTGCTTGCCTATAGTTAGTGAGTTAATTATAGATAATTTTATAGTCATGAAACAGAGCCTAACAGGACCTCAGCTAAGCAGCACTACTAGCCATTTGTTTGATTGCTGGCATTATCAAAATAGCAAAGAAACTGTGCTTACTTACTAGTAATTAATAAATCAGTCTTTTCACAGTTCAGACTACTCACCTATATGTTGCTGGAGGGCTTCTCTACAGGTTCCACCAAGCCCCACAGTTCCACAATCCATGTATAAAATAATCACTCAGACGCTTATATTACTTATAAACTATGGCCATGGCAGGCTTCTTGTTAACTGTTCTTTTATCTTAAATTAACCCATTTTTATAAATCTATACCTTGTCACATGGCTGGTGGCTTACTGGCGTCTTTACATGCTGCTTATCCTGGCGGTGGCTGCAAGTGTCTCTCCCTCCTTCTTCCTGTTTCTCCAATTCTCCTCTCTTCTTGTCCAGCCTATACTTCCTGTCTGGTCACTGGCCATCAGTGTTTTATTTATATAGAGCGATATCCACAGCACCTATACACCTGGTGTGTATCTATTAATGTTCTATACAGTTGAAGTGCCCATATAGCTCTTTTAGAGAATTATTTCAGAAGAGTATTTTTGTGAATCTCATTAAATGTACCAATTGACTTCCAATTAATGATCCACGAAGTATGAGAAGAGAGTCCACTGTTGAAGAGTTTTTCTGAAGTTCTCAACTACCTACCAAAAAGATCATGATATAGTCCATCCCTTTCAGTCATGCACAGTTAGGCTTCTCCCCAGATACTCAGACTCTCTTTAACCTCTAATTTTTATTGTTCCTTCTTATGTCCTTCCTTTTTCTAATAAGAGAATTTATATGAATTTTGTGAATTCCCCTTCCCCTTATGTCACTATCCTAATCCAACTCAATCATTGTGTTTATGTGTTTATGTGCATCTTTCAAACACAGGGTAATTCATGAACAGCCTGTACAGTCACACAGACCAGTACACTTGGAAGGGCTTTCTGCATGACTTAATGACCTACCATCACTATCTTAGAATTCTCTACTTTGGACTCCCATCTTCATCATGATCCTGAGCTCTGTTAAGTTGTACAAAGTTATACATAAGCCAGTCTTCCTGATTTCTCTATGAAAATATTCTTTTACTCTTGGTAGCTAATGCTATCTGACCAATTTGCTATCAAATCCATTTTGTTGTTGATTTGAAGGCACCGTGAAAGCACAAGACTCAGCCTAGCTCTTTCTCACTGTTACAGACAAATAGTAATGAATGATTACTATTGGAATAACGCATGTGACCGGCTTTGTACCAAGCGGGAGACCAGAGAGTGCAACGCGCAGACATGTCCCATCAACTGTGTCCTTGGAGACTATGGGCCATGGTCAGACTGTGACCCTTGTATTGAAAAACAGGTATGTGAGCCATACGCATAACCAGATAGTCTGAATCACATCACAAGTGAGTTCCAGGGCCCCATGGCAAATTCAACATCAGAGACATGCTAAACTTCCTTAATTTCTGAAAATAAACTGCCTTAGTTTTCTCTGAAAGAAAATTGTGTTTGTGTGGGGTGGTATTGGTGGTGGTGGTGGTGGTGGTGGTGGTGGTGGTGGTGGTGGTGGTGGGTGGTATTGGTGGTGGTGGTATTGATAGTGGTCATTGTTGTTGTGGTGGTGGTGGGGTGGTGGTAGGGTTCATTTTATATGTTCTTTGGCCATATGAACACCAAAAAGAAAGTCCACCTCTAACCAAATCACACTTATCCATATCTGAATTTCACTGCTTACACTTCCTGAGACTTCTGAAAGCAAAAGTAAATGCTAAGAACTTCAGCTTTCATCCAGTGCCTAAAACTAAACAGAAATAAGAGGAATAAATCACAATTCTGGCTCTTTGCTTTTCCTCTGAACTCTGACTAACCATGGGAAAAGTCCACAGCTTGTTTGTTTTTCCCAGCTGCAATATTTACCCAGATCATACTCTTTCCTGTAAGGGGCACATCATGTGACCCATGTCAGCTTCAATCAGAGTCCCGTGTTCCAAACAGCTGCACATTAGAGAGAAAAAAGAAACTCATTTGTAGAGAACAAACTGGGAACTGTGCTGAGTCCCTTATGTGAATCATACAAACTTCACATTCTAGTGTCTTTCTAAATGTTTACAGATGTGTATATTCCAACTCCTTAGGGGCTAAGGATTTTGAACTGGGAGGTACCACTGATTAATAATGGAACTGTATTTTGAATGCAAGTTTTTCTGCAGTTTAAGTCAGCACTGGCTGATCCTGTCATATTTCTAGTCTCACTCTCCATCTTACTCCTCACCAAAATGTTTCCAAGTGTAGAGAATATGTCAACCCAGTTTCCATAGTGACTTTCTTATGCAAAAGAATCTCAAAATCTCTTCCCATTTATAACTTCACAGTGTCTGAGATATAAAAGTGCTCCTTTATTGCCTGCACAGAGGAGATTCTCAGTAAACATTTTTCATTTGCCGTTAGTGTAACTTAGAATCCTATGATTTCAGAGTGAAGAAAAGCTGTGGAAGCTTTTTTGCCCAGTTTCTCATTTTGCAAGTTGGGAAACTGAGGCATGCCAAGTGGTGACTTACCTATCTATGCAACATAATGAAACTGGGGGAAAGTGTTAGTACAGCTCAGGGGTTGTCACCATGGGGTTGATTACAACTGTTACTGGGAAAGCCATTCTTGGATGAATTTTCACTTTGACCTTGACCTTGTTTTGAAATTATTCACCCTCCTCTACCTTTCTTTCAGATTAAAATTAAATCTATCCTGCGCCCGAGTCAGTTCGGAGGACAACCATGCACAGAGCCCCTGGTGACCTTTCAACCGTGTGTCCCATCCAAGCTTTGCAAAATTGAAGAGGCTGATTGCAAGAATAAATTCCTCTGTGACAGTGGTAATGTACTCTGCTAAAATGTCCAGTCTCCATTAAAAATACTAAGTGCCAGCAAAAGCTGTGACAAAACAGTCCCTCCCCACTGTAAGCCCGTGGGGGGCTGTTGTTATACTACACATTACCAAGGCATTCAGGGGTGAAATTACAGCTTTCAAGACATAATCATCTTGACCATTTACCTGACTCATTTGCTCAAGTAATAGTTTTCATAGTCCTACTTTGTTATAGGGGTAGAGAGGGAAAGAGGAGGACAAAGAAAAAAACACAAGCAGGTATTTTAACAAATGGATATTAATAAGCACAAATCTATAATGAGGATAACTGAAAAAAAGTGACAGGTTGGGGACCAGGAAGATGACTCAGTGGATAAAGGTGCTTGTCACCCAGACTGACAACATGAGTTCAATTCCTGGAACCTCTGTGATAAAGAGAATCGACTGCTCCTATTTGCTCTGGCCTCTGCATGTATGTATGGCATATATATGTGCATGTGCGCACGCACGAGCGCACACGTGCACACACTCACATCAAATAAATAAATATAAAAACAAAGTTAAGTGAGAAGTGACAGATTAGGGTATATTTTTAATTGTTTGTTAGGAAAAGACTACTGAGGTATTATTATGTCAGGTGAATCCTAAATAAGATAAAGTTTCACAATTGGTTCCAAAGGCTGCCTTTACCCCCACAATAATAAGATATTATGTTGGTTTAAATGTTAGCAACATTCAAGTATAATGCATGCTGAGATTTATAAGAACTGATATTTAAGTTATATTAGAATATAGTCAAATCTTGAATACTTTATTTATAGATACTCATCTGTTAATTTCTAGCTCATTAAATCCCACCATTTTGGACAGTTCATATCCAATTTCTACAAATGCTTTAGTGAACATCCAAATAGCCAATATCAGCTTTATGGTCCATGTGATTTTATCTTGTTGTGATCACTCAACTGGCCTGTATCATCAATCTTCCTATATCAATATATGAGCATAGATGTGTTCCAAGAAAACTGTATTTACAAAAATGAATGCAGATCAGTTTTAGCATGTGAACCGTAGTTCATTGAACTCCCACATAAATATTCAACTTTCAGTTAGAAAAACGAAAGAAATTTCAGATGGATAAGCCCCACATTGCTTTTGTGCACTCTGGGTACACAGAAAAGTAATTAGCAAATTTTAAATTTCATAGATAACTTACTTAAGACCTTAGGACTAAAATTCTTTCTTCTTTACACACTGCTTCCATCCTTAATCTTTGCCATCTTTTTCTAACTATAGATGATAATGCAGATATCAAGGTTTTCCAAACCTGTAAAATGAGGGTAGGTGTTGGATAGAGAGGTATACCTTGTATCCCAGTAATGAGGTCACATCACAAATTAATGTAAGGAAGATAATAAAAACCTTGACGGAATGGCTGAGAATAATTCAGACTTGCACATTAAATCCAACGTCCTAAAAAAAAAAAAACTGAAGGCAACTATTTCAGGCTTTAAATGGAGTTATTATAGTAAACAACTGAGAGAAAGGCTGTTCAGCAGATGATAAACCTATGGAATTAGTTATAGGTTTCTGCAAAAGCCTTAGAGTCACATACTGACTACTAATAAACAATGGCTAATTTCAGACAAGTCAGCAACTACAGCCTCTGGTTTCCAGGTCAACAACAAGCACTAGGTCCACAGCCACTGTCTAAAAAACTGGAATGGCAAGATGGTTCAGTGGCCTGGTGACCGGAATTCAATCTCTGAGAATCACAGGAAAGAGAGAACCAATTCCTGCACATTGTCTTCTGACTTCCTGTGCCACTACGGCTGGTGTGCCATCATATCTCCAATAGGAACTAACTAGATGAGATGTAATAAAATTAACAACAAAAGATCCAAATTATTACAATGTCTGTAATTGTTGGTGAGCTGCTGTGACCCTGCACTCTGTGCTGCCCAACCCATGTCACCCTGAGTCTTCAATAACTCTATATTCCAGCTACCAATTGATAAATTCTGGCAACAATATGGTTGGCATCCTTCCAGATTGGGTGATGCAATGGTTTTTTTGGTTCTTAAATGATCCATTAAAAATGACATACTATTGTCCTCTCCAAAAACCACCTACTATGAACAGGAAGTTGGATGGACATTGTTTGTCTGATTAGAGATGACACTTAGACCCTTACTTAACAAAGAATTTAAAAAAAAATTAGAATCATTATCCTGTCCCAAAAGGATAGGATACGTTACATGGCATTTCATGACAGCCTTACCATGGCATTGGTTGCAATGTACTATGCCAAATTATCTCTCAGGGCCAACTTATCTCTCAGGGTTCTGATTTTAAGCATTGAATAAAATATTTAGCTAGTTTTTCAGATGTTTATAAAAATAATATGCAATCACAATAACACAGCCAGTCCAAGTAGAAAAAAAGGTGTACTACTTCTGCATGACTGTATGGCTTCAGCTAGCAGTCCTCTCACCCACAATTTCCCAGTGTGATTTCAGTCACTTGTGGTCAACCACAGTCTGATATGTTAGATGAAAAATTCCAGAAATAAGTCATTTTAAATTTTAAATTCCATGTCAGAGTAGAATGAAGAAACTGTGTGTCATCCCACTCTGTCCCTCCCAGGATACTGATTACCTCTTTCTATAGCATAGACATAACATATAGTACCTGCCCGTTGTCTCAGTTATGAGATCAACATGTCACTCAGCTGTAGCAGTACACCTTCTCACGAACCCTGATTTTATGTATTAATGGCCACAAAGTACAAAGGCTGTAGTGATGGCGATCCATGTGAGTCTAAGAGAAGTGTGAAGTGCCACGATGAAATTTCTCAACTTGAGGAAATCAAGAAAATCGTATGTTAAGGATGCTCAGACCTAGGGTAGGAATGGAGCTACTCCCCACTAACTTTTAAAGAACTTCACAAGCTTTGCTGTCGTATCTCAAACTGGAGTTGTGAACAAAGGGTAGGATAGGTGCTTAAGATGGACAAGGTATGAATTACAAGACTTAGTGCTCCTTGAAGTCTCAGGCATGTGAGGGTTTTAAACATTGTTCCTCACAGATAAAGGAGACTACTGCATACGTATGCACTGACCTCAGTAAATTCTGCAACATTCTAACTGCTCTTCAGCTTCCCAGCCCCCACTCTGGTATAGGCTATGTTAGTGGCATACAATGTCACACCCTTTTTGCTTTTTATTCCATTGCATCAGTATCACTTATAGTCATTCTCAACTATGTCCCATCTTGCCTACTAAGTATCAGTCAAAAGATGTCTTTCTTCTTTCTTCTCAGCACTTATTGGCAGGTCCCTTCCGATGTCTAGAAATGTCGAAGCTTGGCAAATAAGAACTGGGTGCTCCATGAGTATCTGTATACTACCTAGGAAAACAGAAAGCCCTTCTAAAAGGAACCACCACCCAAAACAGAATTTTTCTCTTCAATCTGTTAGGACCAAGAACAGAATTTATACACACACACACACACACACACACACACACACACACACACACACACACACACACATCATGAGTCAAGACATCTTCTTCATTTCAAGTTAAATAACGTAAACCAAGATTAAAAATACATAAAAACAAAAACCCTAGATATAGTTTTCTAAAAGTAACCTCCTCTATCTGAAAAATAGACAGAAATACACCCCTATCTTTTAGTTTTGTATGATTATGATGCTCATAGTCATCATCATAATACCTGTCTGAACATAAGACAAGATTTTGAGTAATCTAAAGAATTATTTTGAATATACTCTACCTTCTAAATGGAAATTATTAGCCAAAAGATGTGAAACTAAAGGTTTTCAGGAGTCTTTTATAGCAATAAAAATTAAAATTCAGCAGATACTCAGGTCCCCCCCCCCAAGCATTTATTTAGTCAAATTAGTGACACATGGCTGTAAGTCAGACACTGGTCACAGCTTCAACATGTCAAGCTTGTAATCTTGAGTAAGAAGTATATTAGATGATTGTTAAGTATCTGTCTTCTTCCACTCATAAGTTTTTAGAGATTTGGAAATGTATTGTTTGCACAAATAGGTTGTTTGTGTGCCTATAATTATAGGGTTTTTTTTAATAAAAATTATCTAGACTCTGCCATAGAAATCAAAACAAAATTCTGAACCTACTATCAACTTTCTTCAGACCAATCTCTCTCCAGAAAGCTCACTCTAATGTAATTTTAAAATTCTCTGCTTCAAATAAAAGAAGAAGAAAAGAAAATTCTCTTTTTGAAAAAAGCCCAATAGCAGCTAAATTGTCCTGTGGTGATTCTTAGATGCTCCAGACCTAGAGGTGACATCAGTTTATTTCTTCATTTCATGCATTCCTGTACCTTAACCTTTCTCTTGATGTCTAAAGCATTTGTGCTACACCTTAATAAATGCTTCCCTAGTTGTACCATGTTGGTAATGCTGCGGTGTGCTTTCGTGACCAGGGCGCTGCATTCCCCGGAAGTTAGAATGTAATGGAGAAAATGACTGCGGAGACAATTCAGATGAGAGGGGCTGCGGGAGAACAAAGGCGGTATGCCCGCGGACGTACGAGCCCATCCCTAATGTGCAGCTGATGGGCACTGGGTATGTAACATCCTGCTATCACTTGGGAAAGAAAAGGTACCCCTGTAATAAGGAGAGGCACATCAACAGCAGACACTACACAAAATCATGGAAAATAAACAACACGCTGTCGAATGATGCTTGAGTGACTGAATAAATTGACTAGGAAAAGGAGAACATTGCTTATGGTTGTATAATAAGTCAAAATCCCAGCAGGAAAATCCATCTTTTGGATGTGAGAGGGTAAGACAGGGTAAATGAGAGACAGAGAGAGGGAGGGGGGGTGAAGACATCACCTTCAAATGGAAGAGTCTCATGAAGAACAGTGCCCTGGGCTCCCCACTGTCACTTCACCCTCATCGATGCCCAGGTCTAGCTTGGTGCTGTGGCAAAGATGGTTCCTACTGGGAAGGCTGTGCCCTCTGTAGTTCTCCCCATGGTTCTCCAAGCAACTTTGACAGGTCCTCTCCCACATGGCATTCTTTCTCTCTCTCTCTCTCTCTCTCTCTCTCTCTCTCTCTCTCTCTCTCTCTCTCTCT